GACATTTAAAAATGTTTAGAAATTTTTGATTGAAAAAATTTCAATTAAACAATTAAAATTTCACATGTAAAAAACTTAAAAAACTATAAGTGCAATTTTTTATAATAATTTTTTTAGTTGTCATTTAATTAATAAAAAAAATCAAAACTTTTTAGACGTCTGCTAACTTCAGTGTCATTTAATCTTATTTGAAATGAATAAAAATTTCATAATAAAATTTGAACTCATTTTTTTAAATAATAAAATTATAATCTGATAATATTTTATTTTGTTTAAAAAATAAATATGACGTAAATATTTTTATAGAATTTCACTGGAAGTTTCTGAAAATTTCGACTTAGAATTTTTGTTTTTATCAATTTCTCCATTATTATTTATCAAAACACTAAAAATTATTAGATGTTTGCTAATTTCAATATTGTGTAAAAATTTATACCCATTTATCATTATTTAGTTTAAACTTTTTATGAAAATTATTAATTTTTGTATGTAAATAAAAAAATTGTCAGATATCTGTTAAATTTTTTACAATAAAAATTATCACCACCACAAAAGTATAAAATATTAATGTCAAAACTAAATGATTGACAATAATGTAGGCATGGACTGCTCGGAGAAAGCAAAACTTACAGATCCATTGATACGATGCTCTGAGGATGAGCCTTGAACAGATCGCATAAAAGACTTTTCATTTCCGTCTTCAAGCTCAAAAACGGCAGTAACAGACGCACTACGTGACACTGGTTTTCCTATAGATGCTCCATGGATAAGTTCGCTGAATCTTTTGACACGTAAACTGCTGGTCTTCTCGCCCATAACAAAACTTATAGCATCCATGAAGTTTGATTTACCTGAAAGGTTTTATTGTTAATAAATATCATCAAAATAAATGAGAAAAAACAAATTAGTGTTAAAATTATTAACATAGAGATAAAAAATAGGTTCGATAAGTGTATTATGTGAAATTGGTGGGAAAATAATAAAGTCGACGCCAAACATAACCAACCTGATCCATTGGGTCCAACAACCGCGGTAAAGGACTTCAGTGGCCCGATC